GACCCGGTCCCGGATAAGCAGAGGAAAATGGATGGATGGATGGATGGATGGATGGGCTATGACTGAGTGAACCCCCAGAAGAGCAGCCACCACCTTGGTCGCAGCTAATGGGGATACGAATCAATAACCCAAGAGATTGACTGACCTCTTTAGAAGGGACAGCAGCGTTTCCTGTTCCTGCAGAAGCATGTTGTGTCTCTGCTGCAGGAGCCTGGCAGAGACAGAGGCAGTCGGATCAGCAGAGCGCAACAAACATGCCCAAATACAAACAGTACGTCACTTGTCCCACCGGGAACAAAAACACACTGGACCACTGCTACACGGTAATAACAGATGCCTATCGCTCTGTTGCTCAGCCCTTGAACTCTGATCACTGCATGGTCCGTCTTATACCAACTTAGAGACAGAAACTTAAAGCTGCAAAGCCTGTGGTCAAGCCAGTGAAGAGATGGACCGAGCAGGCAAAGTCAGAGCTACAGGCCTGCTCTGACTGCACAGATTGGAGTTTAATGGAGGCTGCGTATATACACACTGAGAGCCACAGTACCAGAGTCAAATTGCTCATGTGTCAAACATACCTGGCCTGTAAAGCGGGTTCTGATAGTTAAGCCAAAACATTCACAATGGTCCATGTGTATCAGTGCTGTGGAATCATTTCCTGCATGAATGTGATTCAGCCTCAACATAAAGTATATTCTGCTCCTCTTGTTCATGCTAAGCTAATTAGATGATATCATCTGAAAAGGAAAACACAGAAACCACATTTCCTCTAACTGGGCTTTACTTTCTGTTGTGCTGCACATGTGTGTATTGGGTGTACAGACCTGTGGTTTCGGAGGCTGCAACCCTCGTCTCCTCCGGCCTGGAGGCTTCTCTGTGACGGCCTGATTGAAGACAGAAGAAAAACTGTTCTGACATAGGTAATGATAATAAGCACAGTCCTGTGATTCCTGTTACTTCGAGTTTGGAGACAAAACGGGGAAGGTTTAGTAGAACACAGGAATATACGTCACCCAAACACACAGAGATTCTTCATAGACAGCATGAAGTGGTTTTGTGTTGTGGTGGCGATAGCAACAACTGGAACGCTTTACTGTCAAGTCTTGTATGTTATTTTATTGTAGTACAGCATTTTGGTTCAACTTTTGTTGTTTCAAATGTGCTTATAAATAAACTGACTTGACTTGAAATGTAAACTACAAATTAAAGCCCACACCACAGGCGTTAACCCCGTGTCAAGGACAAACCAAACATTTATGGCTCTCAGTGAAAGTAGAAACCTCACACTCTGCTCAGTAGCTGCGGCCACCTCTTGTGCTGGTTTCACTAACTGGGTATTATTCTCTCTATGCTTTTTGGATTAAGGTGCCACAGGCACCTCAAGTGAGAACAACACAGGAGGATATGTAGGTGGACGTGTGTTTTTTCATGTAGCAGTCAGACAATGAAATGTGATCCGTGAAGTCCAGTTGTGAACTTCATGGATTATGTAGGAATATTTATGTAGATTTATGTGTTTAAAGCTGAGTAGACCCCAAAACACAGCACAGAGGTTTGTGATAGACAGGACTGGACAACAGCTGTTTCATCTTTGGTTGAGATGACCTTGAGGTAAACAGAGGAAACACAGCGTTCACGTCACTAAGTCATCCACCTGTGATGTGCATGTGACCGGCCAACACCGCGCTGCATTGCAGAGTAAGATTAAACCAGATCCAACATTATTCCCACACAATGCTGTACCATTCCGGAGAAGCCTCCGTGCTGCTGGTTCCTGCTGTATGAACACACTTCCCCAACTCAAATAAATCAGAACGGCTGCGTGTTACAGATGTCAGTGTGTGCACGTGTTATTAAACCGATTCAGGATCCAGTTTGAGGAAACCACAGCGGTTCATACAGTGACATGTCTCTCACCTGCACCAGCGGAAGTTCAGTCAGTCGTCTCCTCGTCTCAAAGTTACCCTGAGGAAGCTATGACATAAAACACCCCCAGTTACACTACACGTACTCTATAAATCCTCATTTTCCACAGTGTGTGTGTGCGTGTGTATTACCATGTGGACGTTGTGCGACGAACAGGTGATGCTATATTCATGGTAAGCATAGTATCCACTTCCTCCAACGTGTCTGACCTCTGTCGAGTTGAAATAAGCCTTTGCCTGCGATTCCTGGACACAAACAAACAATAAAAAGAGACAGACAGAGCAGAGGTGTCACTCATTTGTACATGATGGATCCCAGTGAGGGTTTGAACTGCATGAACCTGTATGAAGGATACTACCCTAATAAAACTGTGATTTAATGACCCACAGCAATCAGATCTGTCTAGGTGTCACACGGCTCCGACTTTGTCACCCTTTATCATTTTCATGAGCAGAGAAGAGAAATGTATGTTCAAATACCTTTGAACCCTATTTCATATTTGTTTAAATATATATCAAACAACAAGATATATCCTGTGTCCCCATCTGCAACCTGTGTGCATATGTGTATTAACATTTCTAGGTACAACCTAAACACACATTTAAAGCTCCAAAACACAAATGTACAAATCTGGGTCTGGGTCTGAGTCTGACAGTCGTGGCTAAGGGTCGGAACACATGAAGAGTACACAGAACAGTGTCTTACGTTCAGGTTGAAGACTTCGTTATAGCAGTGGGAGTTCCTCAGATACCAGGAGATGCTCAGTTGGACAGGAGATGAGGAGTTACAGTTCTCTGTCCCTATTGCCAACACACACACACACACACACACACCAGATTGGCAACTACAGGCAGCTTCTTTGAGACAGAACTGATCTCTGTAGAGGATATAGATTATTGTCTGACTTTGGGTAAAACTGCTGGATTGCTCCTTTAAAGAAGAAGAGCCACTCTCTCTGACTTCAGGAGGATCAACTCACATTGGAGATAGATTAAGCTGTTGTTGAACAGAGTTTTGGGGTAGTAGAAGTAGTCCTGGGTCTTCAGGGTTTCCTGGAAAATGAACACAAACACAATCAGACTTCTTCTAGGGAAACTAACAGCGGTCCCTCACATGCAGCAGTGATGAACTCAACCTGACCTCTGCTCATCTGAAAAGGAGTTAAAACACTCATTAAGAGACTACACTGCAACTCTGAGTGGTGGCTTGTGCACTGGCTGCCAAGCTGGCAGGCCTCAGACAAACAGAAAATGTTCAATTCTGCCTTCACATAACTTTGTTTGTTCTTATGAAATAGTTCCTTTTCAGACCTCTAACAACTGTGGCTCAGGAGGTGGAGTGAACCCCTAACCAGAGGGTTGGTTGCTCGAATCCCAACTTCTCCAGTTCACATGTCGACAGGGCAAGACACTGAACTTCAAGTTGCTCCTGGTGGCTGCGCCATCAGCATGAGTGCGAGTGCCCGAATGCTTGTGTGCGTGAACAGAAAATAGTCCAACAGCGCTCTGAGTGTGCTTAATTGCATAGAAAAGCACTATACAAGTGATCAAAATGACCACTGCTCACAGGACAGCCTCTGTCAGTGACAGTATTATCATACTGTGACTCTCAATGATCTTTGTGAAACGCTGAATTCTAGCACAGGACCATCACTGGGAAAAAACCACACAGCAGCTCAGTTTCAGGATGACTGTGAATGAAGATTAAAAAAATAAAAAAAATTTAAACAGAGCCTGATATGTCTGTATAAAACTGTACTGTGGGTTTTAAGAGAAATTACTAATATATAAAAGATTACCATCAAAGAAAACACCTTTTATTATTAGCGTCCATCAGAGCTCAGACTTCAGACCAATATATGACACTTTGAACTGATCTCTGGTACAAGACTGCAACCAACAACTGTTTTAACACAATGATTGTTTTCTTGATTAAAGTTTTGTTTGCAAAATGTTATAAAATATAATTACAATGTCCCACAGTCCAAGGTGCCATCTTCATAAACATAACCATATCACCTTGTATTAGTTGACCATCAGTCTGAAACTCTGACTCACTATCATGAGCAGAAAAAGCAGCACATCCTCACTACTGAGACAACGTTTGGACATTTAATAAAAGAAATATCTGAACATTCACTGACAATAAGATGATTATCCTTGGATTTTGGTGGGCTCTGTAAGTGAGCGAAGGCCAGTGTCACCATTTCTGTGACAATCTACCTGAATCCAAAGTGAAAAGAGTGGCAGCTATAACTCAACTAATCAATTCATGGATTGAAAGGAAATTAATTAGCATGATTTTGGAGGCAAAGGTGCCAAACATCTGTTGGTTCCTAAGATGTTTCTGCTCAGATGTGAGGCCGTGAAATGTCACTTTGTCAGAAGCAGGTTTCACTGGTTATAAACGTTTTATAAACTAGTAATCAATACAGAGAGAATAAGACAGATGACTCCATACAGTGCAGCAAATCTATACCCACCACGCAGTCTGTCATCACTTTAAGCCTTATTTACATAAATATGTAGAGATAGTCACATGATTTCATAACATTGCTCTCTGAACAACCACCACCAGTGTGGCTAAAGTAAACAGCCACTTCCGGATTCATTTTCAAATTTCTAGCAGTACACACCTACACATTTGATTTCTGAGACCTCAGAAGTTTCCAGGACACACACATTGATCTGTTAAGAAGCTATTTTTTCGTGCTCCCACGGGCTTCACAAAACAGTGAGTCTGTGTTGTGGTTAGCTAACGTTAGCATAAAACGGCGAGTCTGTCTTGTGGTCAGCTAACGCTAGCTAACGTTGTTCACGTGTTTCTTGGCGCAGCGCAGTGTACCCGTGGGGTTTATGTCGCAACACATAAAACTACAAGACTGGAGTTCCCTTCCTGTCCTCTTGTCTGACCTGTTTAACATGTCAAACTCATGTTTTCCTCTGAAAGACACTAACACAACAGCCGCTGTGACATGTGGCTGCTACAAAGAGGAAACTCACACTGTCGACGTTCAGGATCCATTTGCCTGGTTCGGACACAGCGCCAACCGGTCCGCTCAACCACGTCAGCACCAGCAGGAGCAACGCCGTGGACCAGAGTCCTGGACTGGCCCGACCCTCACCTGCGAACCTCGCCATTGGAAACAAGACCAAGAAAAATCCACCAACAGCAAAGCCACCGCGATAACTCACAGCAAATTGACCACTTCCTCCTTCCGATTGACGTGCGCAGGACAGTCAAGACGCCTTCAGTGGTTGTAGGACGTTTGAAAACAACTTCTAAAGCCGTTGGTTTTTGTTTTAAAAATACAGGAAACAGCTACAATATCAATACCGAGGAACGCGGAGTTGTATCTAACTGTGACTAACAGAGAATTATGAACATCGTGTATTCATGCATTAGTAATTGCTTTGTTTATGCACATAGAGTTGAGCACGTTGAAGGTATGTACCGGAAGTGGTACTGCGCTAATTTGACAATGTTTGTGTAGCTTCTCACCATGACCACTGGAGGGCAGAGAACGTTCACGTTTCAACAGGTAATCATGTCAACAAGGAAGACATTAATCCCAACCACCTACCCACCTCTTTTTGGCATATGTTGTTGTCTTGATGAAGTGCTGAATATACACGGGTGGAAAACAATTCCATCTGTCTTGATTTAGTCCCTCACCACCAGAGGGCATTCATATTTCTAAATATGCAACAATAATATAATAATAATGCTATTTTATGACAACCAATACATGATAGAAAATAAATAATGTATTATCTAAACTGACACATCTTGGTGTAGTTCCTTATTGCGGCCACTAGAGTGGAGTAAAGACTTAACAATCAGCAGCCAAGGGTAAATTATATAAACATTCAAAAACCAACACATAAATTTGTTAAGTGATGCCTGTTTACCGCTTCTGGGGTAAACTGAGTGTTAACCAGGGAGTTGTTGTTGTGCTGCAGTTCCTCAGCGTCACCAAAGGAGGGCAGCAAACAGCCTTTAATTCATAATACCTAGCTGTTAGCACAGCATAGGCTAATTATAGACTATTCGGAGTTATGAGGGGTGCCAAGCTAATCTAGAGGTACCCAAGATAAAACATTAAATGGCTGGAATTGAGCGAAATGAGCAGCCATTGGGGAATTTAAGAGGACCTGAAAGCCTCCTGGTTTTACTGCAAGTGTAACACAGTGGTCTCTGGGCCTCTTTTTGTTTCCACAGTGTCACAACATAATTAACCTTTTATGTTTTTATCTTTATAGAAGTGCAATACAAATACTATAGTAGTAAAATACATCCATGCCCCACGAAGTCAAACCATGTGAGTAATTTAAATAAAGTGAAACCATGGATGCCTTCTGTGTTGTTAGTAACTTCTGTTTCTAAACTCTGTCTTCAAAACCTATAGGCTACATTATTGTATAGGCTACAGACATCCAAAAACATACTTTGAGGCTTTTTAACTCTTTGCTGCTCAGGATCAGAATGTAACTGTATGGTTAATGTGGGTAAAACCAAATGAACTAATACAGTGCACTATTCTTTAACAGCATAAGCAAACAATTATGTTCACATTAAGTTAAATCATTTCTGTCGCACTCGTGGACTTTACTTCATTTGCTTATCTTTACACAGAATTTACTGTTTTCCTCCGGGAGAGTAAATTAATCAAGAAAGCGCGTCATTTCTTCTTCTTCTTCTTCTTCACGTCTCTGTGGCCCCCAGATCGGGGCCCCCAGCACAGAGGTGTCCCCAAGCCTGGACCTTATGAACCTGTCGGGCATTAGGAGCTGAAGGCCGGGCCTGCCTGGTGTGTGTCTGTGTACTGGGCGGGGCTGGTGGAGCGTTGAAAACCAACTTGAATCCTGCCTAGCTGGTTTTGTGGACTGCGGTGAGGGTGTCACCCTACAGCCTGAATATCTGCGTATCTCTCGGTGTCTGCTGCTCCCTGTCTCTCCTCTGTGCGCTCCGCAGAAACACAGCTGTGTAAGTAACTTCTCTTTTTCTGTCTTTCTAGTGTAGATGTATGTTTAGTGAACTTCTGATCATACAGAATGTGTGTTGCTGTGCAGGAACCGGTTAGGCTGTTACAGTGTAGCCACAATAAGCAAACACAGTGTTTGCATGTTGTTCACTTCTCTCTCCAAGCGCGGAAAAGTACCAGCAGGGTTGTCACAGTGGGGAAATCTCCGTTTTAGTCAGTTTTACTTGACTAAAAGTAAAGAATCCTGTCAGTTTTACTTGACTAAAAGTAAAGAAGGACTGATAGTAAATGAGCTTCAGAGTTTTAACTTACTGGTACAGTATATTCCTGTGTAAACTGCAGCGTGAGGTGGAGCTCCCGAGTTGGATCAAGGCGGTTCAAGTATTTAAATGCCGGATTAATTTAAGTACTAGGCTAATACAGGACAGTAAAATACCTTTTTATAAGGTATTCAAAGTAGTGTTCGCGTAGAAAGGCTCTTTGCTGCTGAGTTGAGGCCAGGTGGACTTCAGGTGAGCTCCTCCGGACACCGACAGCGTTTATAAGCTGGTCACGTGTCTGGATACAACAAACAAGTGCCTTTATTGTTGATTAATTCGTTGATTGTTTAAAAAAGCCAAATGCCCATCACGGATGATCGTGATGTCACATCGTCGGTTTTGTTAAAGACGTTAAGTTTATTATCAAAAAGAAGATTTAGAAAATACGCACAGTCTAAGAGTTTATGAAGTGGAGCTAATATGTTAAAAATGCTTTACACACATGTTTGTGTAAATGAACGAATTGTTTTATCTGTAATTGTTTTATAAAATTCTTTTCACAGTAACAACCTGCTTTAACTAAAGATCATTTCATGAATGTCTTTTGGTTTGTAGAAACGGTTCAGAGCTGGTTTTAAAACAAAGTCGTCACATTTGAGAATTTTGCTTGAAAAATTACTTAAACAATATTATGAAAGTTGCAGATGGATTTGTATGTTTATTGATTAATGTTGCTGTTCTGAAAGACGATGACTGATGTTCTCAGAGCCCAGGGCGACTTTTACAAACTGTGGAAGGAAAAGTCCAGAATCACTTCATGTTAAGTCACCCTCATAAATGTTTTAATACCTGAGAATAACAGGTGACACACCTCTGCATTTCTTTCAGCTTGTACTGCTCCTACAGAGCTGAGGGTGGGGCCCAGGCAGGGTGTGGGGGGACACTGTTGACCGATACTTGTCTAGGAAATGTTGACTGTTATAGATCAGGTAAATGAGCTGATTGTTTTTTTAATCCTCATGGTTTTCACTCTGCCTTTCTCTGTCTGACAGACAAAATGCATCTGGCAAGGTGTTTTGTTCAAGGCATTATTGGTGCTGTGAGGTGAGCACACACAAAATGTGTTTTTTTTCTTCTGGTGGAGCCAGGCTAGCAGTTTCCCTCTGCTTCTAGTCTTTGTGCTAAGCTAGGCTAACCACTTCCTGGACCTCTCTCTGACTCATCTCCTGTTTTTCCTCCTACAGCAACATTGACCCCTCTCAGTTCAAGCACTCAGACCCTGTAAGTACCAACATCAGGAAATGTTGAGTATACAATGGATGAGGCAGCAGAAACTCTCTGCTCCACCCATGGATGTATTAAGGACAGTTGGATATTGGAGTACAAGAAGGCACCCATTCTTCCCACTGCTCGCTTGATGCATATGCCAGAAACCTTTCTTCTGGGTTTGCTTGCACGTTGAGCGGCCCACTACACATTAGTGTTTTTTCCCCCAGCTGTGCACACCCGCTTGGGATGACGCCATGAACATAAATCTTATAGAATCTGGGGAACCCTTAAAAATATAAGCCCCCATTGATTCATAAAACAAAGAGTGATGAAGTAGTTCAACGTGTCCTGTAGAGTTTGGAAGACTTCAGGTCCGGCATGTGTAAAGCTGCTCAGAGTAGGACTTGTTCTTAAAACGAGACTTGGTCTGACTGATCCCCGAGTTATGTAACTTGCTGTAGATATGCCTACCAGTGACAGCAGCTTACATGGTTAAAGTGGTTTGTCTTTATTATAAATATAAGAAATAATCAGTAGATTAGTTTAAGAAATCGTCCATGTCCACGTTGAATTCGGTCTCGTTGCTGTGACTGAATCAACACCGATTTCTCCCAGTGGAATATTTCATAAGTGAACAAACACTGAACATCTAAATGCAAGTTAAACTGAGAAATGAATGTGCAACCTAACAGTAGCTCTTTGTGTGTGTGTGTGTGTTTGCGTGCAGCCTCCCCCACGTGGACCCCTGCAGTATGCCCAGGCTAAGGAGAACGATGAGGAGAAACAGTTTCGGCAGGTTTTCCAGAAGCTGGCCGGAGATGTGAGTCTATAAGATTCATGTTTAATTCACTCTAATCCTCTGTGTTCTCCTGTGTGTGTTTACACCGACTGACACTGTTTCTATAGTTTTAATACCACTAAATTATTTACGATTTTTTAATTTTCATTTTATACGTGATGCATTTCATGTAACTACACTGTACTACACTGTCTTCCTGAGGGCAGCAGTTCAAACAGAGAATGACCAGGGTGAGATGAGTCTTTTGCAATGTTATGAGCTTCTTTGAGACAGTGGGAGCTGTGTAGTTCTTCCAGAGAAGGAAAGGGGCTGCCAACAATCTTTTGTGCGACGTTAATAACCCTCTGGAGCGCTGTCCTACTGTACCACACACAGAGTAAGTGAGGACACTCTCAATAGAGCAGTGATGGGACATCAGCAGACTCTGCGTAATACCATTCTTCCTCAGGACTCTCAGGAAATGCAGTCTCTGCTGGGCCTTTTTCACCAGCTCTGAGACATTAACTCCCCAGGTCAGGTCCTCCTCGATTTTTATAGGCTCACTTTGGGCTTTAAAGTACAGAAAAGTTTATTTCAAGCTTGCTCAGGTGTCCCTGGAGGTTGATTCACCCGTGGACAGATTCTGGCATGCTCGCTGTAATGACACGGAGGTGGTTTGAGTCAGACAGTCTGTTTAGAGAGTAAAGGAACATTTCTGACTCTCTCAGGACTCAGGTGTTGGGTTTTGATCTGCAGGTTCAGTCTGATCTGGAACCAGTTTGTCTGACTGACTGATTCTCTGTGAACCAATCAGACAGCTTAAAGGTAGGGTTGGCCATCCTGGAAAAACTAGCAAGAGGAAGCTTGATTTGCAATGCACACTGCCTGACTACTACTTACAGATTTCAGGAAAATAACAAACCTGTCCAGCAGAAACACGGCCACCATGGCGTCACTTTTCAGCCATTTCTCTTCACTCAGTTGTTGCCGTCATTCAAAAGCCACACAGATGTTAATTCTTGCGTTACTTCTTGCAGCATCCAGCTTCTTTTTAGTTGCAACTTTCTCTAATACCCGTTCCTGAACTTTTACTTGTAACAGAGTATTTTTACACTGTTGTATTGTTATTTTATTTAAGTATGGGATCCGAGTACTTCTTGCCCCAGTGGAAGCATTTAGTAACAAGGTGCCTCCACGAAGTGGCCACGCCTGCTAAACAGACAGTGATACAGAGGCCTACAACTGAAATGGATACTGAATATGCAAATTAAGTGGTCTCTATTTGCAATCTGCAGTACTGTGTATACTACTTGACTGTTGTAACACTGACCGGAGACATCAGAGGGGGTGTGGCTGCTCAGCCAAGTCTGGCTATGTCTCTCAGCTTGTCTTCCTCTCTGCTTTTCACCTGATCCCTCATCAGCCACCACACCTGTCTGCCTGTTGGCTGCCTGCTGTTGGCTGCATTGCACACTCCACCCTCTCCCTGTTGTCTGTGTTTGTCTGGTTCATCCACCTGCTGGACAGGTTCTGTAGCTCCTACTGGTCGAGCTCACACCTTTTCTGGAATATTCACAAGATGAATTTGAAACAAACAGAAAAATGTGTAACTGAACACAACATTTTCATTGGCCTGTATAATTTTAAATTCTGTATCCTCCAAACACAGCATTACCCAGCATTCTCTTGTTAAAGCTACAGTATAGAACTCGGGGTAGCACTAGCATGAGAATCCAGACCAACCCTCTCTACTCTGCACAGCGCACCCTGTCCCTGCTCCACTACCAGCTGCTACGCTCCACTACTACACTCACTCCTAGGATCAGTTTAGAGATGTTCCTCCCATCTATTTTAGTCCAGTTTTCTGTATCTTCTGATGCCGCTGTCTTGCTGGGGCTCCCCTGAAAAAGAGGTTATAAACCTCAGTGGGATTACCCTGGAAATATAAAGGTTAAATAAATAAATACATGCAGCTGCCATTAAATGAGTGCATTAAGACAACCTGGTGAGGAGTGTGATTGGATGCCCCCCTTGTCATCTCAGCTGGTTAAAGTCCTGCTGTCAAATCAGAGAAACAAAGATGTCAGATGCTACTTTAGCACTAAAAGAAGTGAGCACAGAGAGTTGAAGGGAAACAGAAAGTTGTCCTGTTAACACTCCAGGTCCATATAGCATCAGTGATTCCAAATCTGCCCCCTGTGGAGGACATGTACACAGAGTGATGTACTTGGACTGACCAACGTCAGTCAGTGATGAACTGACATCACCCTATCTCAGTCAGGAAGCAATAATGTGATTTCCTGGCTTGTGAAATTAAGTTGTAGGGCAGAGAAAGCCCTGCGTGCAGTGGTGGAAGTCTGTTGGGGTTGTGCATTTGTTGCATAGCTCTTTACTGATTCTGCTTCCCTGTTCCTTTTCAGAAAACTCATTTTCTTTCAGCATCACTTATTGTACTGTGAAATCAATCAGCAGTGTTTGATGTTGAATTGTCACACAAGTAGACTGTTGGGTGGATGGATTTTGAGATGGAGGTGGATTATAAAACTCCACTCAGAGCTTCAACGGCTTAGTTTCATGTTTCAGCTGGAATTCAAAGACTATGAAACCTTAGAAGCTGGAGAGTCGGCTTCAGGGTGGGTTAGACAGAGAGAGATCTCTCTCCTGCCATTATCTGGCAGGGTGTTGTACTGTTTGTGTGTGTGGGTCTGAGATTTGCTCTGACTCAGAGGGGTGCGTGCACAGGTTAGACCAGAACTCAGCCAGGTGGGTGGACTTTCTCTAAATCAACAGTGGTGACAAGAGTTTTGACGTAATGTCTGCCTCTGTCCTGGCTGTGCCTGTGTGGGTGGGGTCATATGGTACCTAACTGACTACAGAGTGCTCCTGTGAGGAGCCCTGTTGTGACCTGAGTCTGTAATAAATAAATAAAAAAAGGCATGTGCAGAAAAAAATAGGGTCTTGCACAGCACATTCCACCCTGGTTGGTGCAGAAACTCCTGGGTGGCGCTGGACAAATGGTGCCACCTTAGCTATAAGGCTAATGTTGCTAGCAGTAGATCACTAAGCCTAGAGGCTCAAACAGTTTTTCTTTAAGAGCTCATGACATGCTCATTTCCAGCCATTTATTGTTTCGTCTTGGGTACCTCTAGATTAACTTTGCACCCCTTAATACCTGAAATCCTACGTGACATGTTTGAGCCAGAATATGAAATGCGACAGCACTGACAGCTGTTGGGAGTTTGGACGTTGTACACTTTTTAGTGGTGAGTCCTACTCAGATCAGCTGTGGCACAGTCTCTGTGTGTGTGTGTGTGTGTGTGTGTGTAAACCAGAGACTACTGAAAAACCTACCAGGCAAGGACCAGGGATAAAAATAAACACAAAACACTCAACAAAGAGATACAAACCAGCCTCACAAAGAACAAGGAAAACATAGTCAACTAGACCTGCCACTTCCTGGTTGTGTGCCTCTCCCAACCACTCAAATTCACGGGAATGGGACAGACGTGAGATCACTGTGACCTTGACTTTTGACCACCAAATTCTAATCAGTTCATCCTTGAATCCAAATGGATATTTGTGCCAAATTTGAAGATATTCCCTTGAGGTGTTTGAGATATCGCGTTCATGATAATGAGCCACACGGACAACTCAAAAACATAATTCCTCTGGCTCCAGAGGCATAAAAATATCCACAAAGAGATGCAAAGTGACTGAAAAGATAAGCAACATAACTAAAAAGAAATTAAAAATGACCATAAAAAGAGTTGCAAAATTGTGTAGGAGGCTGGGGGGGCTTTTACATGTCTGGGCCCAGGGTCTTATGATCTGTCCATGGGACAAGATGCTGGTTTCCACCATGTAGCTCACTGAACTTTAGGGTGATAACTTCTTCTAAGGCCACGGTTAGTTTCCACGCAATGAATGTAAGTCAATGTAAAGTCCCCTGAGGAATGAAAACAAGTGTGTGTTTTAACAGGACATGGAGGTCAGCCCCAGTGAGCTGATGAACATCCTCAACAAAGTCATTTCCAAACGTGAGTCTACTTTTCTTTTTCTCCTTTACCAGAAGATCAGACATGTACGATCCAAAGATGCAAAAATGCACCCTGAAATATTCTTGATGGCAATTGTTTTTGTTGTTTTAAAGCTCTCACAGGAGCTTTCATGTTTGTGCCTGCCAACTTATATAGTGTTTTCTTACTAAAGTATTTGACATTAAAAGAAACTGGACTGAAAGTTCCTTATCTCTTGTTTCAGATGCAACTCTGAACACTAAAGGTTTTAGCATCGAGTCCTGTAGGAGCATGGTTGCTGTCATGGACGTATCCTTCTACAAAATAAAGTGCCAAAACAGTACAATCCCGAGTTCTGCTGTAAATCATTAGTAACAGTTGTAGAAATTGTGGTAGTCACAACAGCAGTGGCATTTTGAAGTATTAGCAGTACTAGTAGCAGGAGTAGTAGGAAAATCAGAAGTAGGAATGGTAGCAGTGCTCGTATCAGGTACCAACTAGCACTAGCAGTCACAGATGCAGAAGTAGAGGTAATAATACTAGTAGCAACAGTAGTAGACATATTAGTTATAGTAATATAATGTAAGTATTAGCAGCAGAGATGTAAATAGATCAATATTACAGCATACTAACAGCAGTATTCGTAGTGTTGGAGACAGTAACAGCATAGGAATATTAGTGGAAGAAGAAGAAAACAGTAAAAGCAGTAACAGTAACAGCAGCAGTACAAGTAATAGGAGTAACAGTAACAGCAGCAGTACAAGTGGTAGTAGTAGCCAAGGAAGTGGGGTCAGGGGAGGCAGGGGGGGGGGGGGGGGTCCCCCGCTGGTTGTGAAAGAAAAAA